CAATGCACAGAGAGTTCCATAATTGGCACCTTGGAAGATCTGAAAATATAAATTAATACCACTATWCAAAACATAATGCTTAGTGGAAGTGGTTCTCGGCTGCAGACTGAGCTCCAGGGAGGAGCTTTGTACCAGCATGCGTTTAGGCAGCTCCAATATTATATATTCAAGGTTTTTAAATATGCATGAATGAGTCAAAGAAACACTCTGGGTATGTTTATGATGAGGGAATGACATCATAACATGGTATAAAGCTCAAAAAAGTAGATTTTGCATAATACCTCCCCTTTAAGAAAACATGTAATTGCTTATTTGCTGGCATGAAATACTCAGTTGTGTGTCTGCACAGATGGTTCAGTCTGTGGTGGAGTARGGAGGAAAGAGAATCAGAGGAAGTGACCTCATCACCCCCACAGACGCTGTCGCTATCACTAAACAGTTCTTTAAAGGACTTAAGGTATAATAACACACGCTGTAAGGTATCAGAATGTGTTGAATTCATTTTAGTACATTGCTAAGGCTTGGGAAAGCTTGCCTTTTCGTGGTGTAACGGAGCTTTATAGCCTCCTTTTGTGTTTTTTTGTGTCCGATCAGGGCGTGGAGAACGTGTACGCTCAGCATCGGCCTCTACTTCACGACACTCTGGATCAGCTGATTAAAGGTCGACTCAAAGACAGTCAGTTCCCGTACCTGGGCGCCAGCAGCCTCAGAGACAGGTGACCATCACTCAGTAGAGTAGAGTCGAATAGAACAGAAACAGCCTTTATTGTCCCACGCAGGGTAATTCAGGTGTAATAGCAGCAGCAAGATACATACATCAATCCACAGAAACAGTATATTGCTGTGTGACATTATCAGCTGTAGCAATAATAAAGATAGTAACAATAAAAAATAAACATAGATCAAAAAAAAAGAATAATAATTACTGTACCGGACTTTCAAGATGAAATTGGATGAAAATAAAAGCAAGATACTGTGCAGAAAAATACGAAATTACAGGAAAAAACGGTCATGACAGACTCATGAGAAGGTGTGTAAATTAAGTCTAACTCAGTCATGAAGTCAGTGTTCCAGTTCAGGAAAAACAATGTACAATTGCCACTGGTTATTATTTATATAATGATTGAGAGGTAGAATTGTTTGGCATGCAAACACAAACATGGATGCTAACCGAGACTGTTGGGAGCAGTGATGGTTATAGAGTCTGACAGCTGATGGGAGGAATGATCTGCGGTAACAGTGCGAAAACACAAGTAAAAAAACAAAAAATGCTACACACCTGACAGGGAGGTGAGGTATCAGTGAGATTCATCTGAAGAAAGTGTCCAAAATATAATCATACATGTATATGATGGAGTATTAGGGCCACACAACGAAAATCTTTTATTATTATTACAAGATTAAAGTCATAATATTACGAGATTAAAGTCGTAATTTTATGAGAATAAAGTCGTAATATTACGAGAAAAAAGTCATGATCATGACGCGTCTATTTCCTGTTCCTCATTTCGTCCTTTTTTACTCACACRTGCTGTACAGCCATATGTGTGTGTTTATAAAGTAGTCCATGATGACTCGGGTACCGTTAGATTAATATACTTTCATCCAAATTAGCTACAACTAAGTCCGTCATTGCATCCATTAATTACAATACAGCTTCAGTTTATAGTCGTTTGCACAATTTAAGTCCTGCTACTGATAATTTGATGC